ATCTAGAAAAATGAAAAGTTCCTGCCAACAACGAGGTATCTGCAATTGTGCTAACACAAAGTGGAAGTCACAGCATCAACAATGAGCATGATGCGTGTCTTGGTAGCATCTTAGCATTTTTTTCACAAAGATGTTTTGTAAATAGATGATACTTGTGTTTGGTACTTTTTAAAAAGCATTTGCTCTCAAAAATCTTGAAACGAGAAGTACTTTCCTTTTCTAACAAATCATAGGATTTTGAAGGGGGTGGCAGGAGCCAAAAAGCTGCTAAGAAAACTGAGAATGTACAAGAAAGGAACAATGCTCGGGCCTTTGATACAGTCACTGAGGGCAGCCCATGATGACTGGTTAGGAAGGTGACAGCAGTTGCAGAATCCAAATTATGGCCATTATCAACACCTCCATCCACTTCTGAGGGAATAAACCCAAGAGTTCCCTCATTTTTCCACTAAAATTTACTCAACAGATTCTTTGCCAACGCCAAGTACAAAGGTAGGATCTTCAGAACACAGGAATAAAGATGCAGGAGGTATCATCTTTTATCATTCCATATTTTGATCTGATGAAACATCTGGCATCCATCATTTACAGAAGAAATCGCGTACCTCTTTCAAATGTTCCACTCGGCCCTGGGTCGCATCTATACCCCTGCGACTAGCCTCACAGAAACAGTAACACCCTCAGCCCCCTGGGAGTTCCCAAAGACAGCTCTTTGGGGGTTTACAAGCTTTAAACTGGAGGAGGGCTAGAACATGCACCTTTTCCTGACTCTCTGCTACTAGTTTGTGGGAGCTTCGATAAGCGATAGTGGGAATACCTTACCCTCCCCTCACACATACTCCAAAGCCTTTTACCTTGAATCTAGAACCTACTCTCACCACATAATAAGTACACCTGAGCTCAGCATGATGGCTTAGTGGTTAAATCCTTGCTTGTACATGCTGGGACCCCATATGGGCACTGGTTCATGTCCCGGCTACTCCGCATACCATCCAGTTCTCTGCTTGTGGCCTGGAAAAGCAGTGGAGGATGGCCTAAAGCCTTGGGAACCTGCACCTGTGTGGGAGACCTGGAAGAAACTCCTGGCTCCTGACTGGCTCAGCTCTGGCTGTTGTGGCCGCTGGTGGGGTAAACCAGAGAATGGAAGATCTGTCTGTATATCTGTCTTTCCAATACAAATGAATAAATCTTAAGAAAAAAAGAAAAATTAAACAGCATACCTCTCCTACTTTCCAGGATTTTATGCCAGGAGTTGGTACAGACTCTGGGAAATAAATCTACATCAAGTAAAGCAAACAAAACTGCTTTAGAAAATGTATTTATTTGCTTTATATGTTATTCCTGGCCAGGCTTTAGCATGCCTGTGTAGATTTAACATGAGAGCAACCCAAGGCTCCTGGGTGTGCGTGGAGTGCCCCATTGGTCCACCAGCATTCTAGAAATGCCCTAATTTGAGAGCCATACCATGCTTTCTATTTTAAACAACACTCACATTTGGTTTTTTCAAATCAATGCAAAACAAATGGAATGGCGAAGCTACTTGTACTAAGAAAAGCAACTGTCAGTTTCTTATGGGAACAACTGTAATAACTACTGACTAGCGCCCCACTGCGCACCGAAGCACCTGAGACAAGGAACCATGGGACGCGGTGTCCCTGGCCTGGGCAATCTGCCATCAGGACACTTAGGGAGCCCCATCGGGGAGTAAAGGTGACTTGAATGCCACAACTAGGATTTTTAAGTGACTGCCCAACACCCACACGGATGTCCTCTGTAGCATTTTGAGGATGACGCTTGGGACGACCTATCAGCACGAGTACCACGGCCACAAACTGGGGGCTCACTGAGGCCCCTCTGACCACGCAGAGACTGGAGGGAGCTCAGCCCCTAGCTACTCCAGGCCGGGTTCATTCCATTGGCTCATCACTGCCTTAGAGTCACGAAGGTCCCAGGACCCCGGCCTCTCAACAGTATTGCTAAGGACCAGCAGTACAGTGGGTTCATCAAGGACAACACGGTGGGCATCTTTCTTTGTTTTATAGGGTGCAACTTCCTGGTCCTGGCCTGAGTATACGTCTCACAGATCCTGCCCATTTCAGCAAACCTGGCAACTTGACTGAGACAATTACCCAAAGACTCCAAATTCCCATGCTATGAGCCAGCCTCTTCAGAGAATAGCTCCCTAAGCAACAAGCAATGCTGCTCATGGCAGACATCTAAGATGCGGTCCTCAAGAAACACCTGCTGAATCAACACATGAACTAATCAAACAGGCAACTGATCAAAGAAGTTGGTAGGTTGTTAAGTGTTGATAACACTTTCGTATCTGGAGTACAATGAAGTTTTCCCCCAAGGCACAACCCAATAAACTGTAAGCCGTGTGAGGATGGAAGGGCATCGATGCCTCTTTCTGCTACAGTTTTCCAACAAGGCTACACTTGAATGGATTCTCAATACAAACTTACTGTCAGAATTATATGAGATGAAATTTTACAGCTTTAGTTACCCATACAATAAATTTTTCTCTGCTGGAAAAAAAAGGGCATTTTTCAAAATAAAAAAGAAAATTTACTTGAAAAAAAAAAAAAAGAATGCATAATCTCCTGAAGAAAATACTCAAGTGTCCTTGGTGGTGCTTTCAAATGACTAAGATTTTTCAAGCACTTTTCAATGACTAAGATTTTTCCCAATTGTCCTGTTCCTTAACCTTGACCAGGCATTATCCTCTGGCTTAGACTAACTAGTCCAATGAGCATGTGCTGGCAGGGAAAGTCTTATTCCCGAAAAAGAACAAGGAAGCCCCTGGCTGCAAGAACAGTGAAGAGCGTTGCTGCTCGGGTCAAACCTTGCCTCGCCTCACAGCGACTCCTACAGCGACACCTGCTCTCGCCAGTGCCACAGAGCTTTCTGTCTTGAGACTGTGTCACGAGGTAAGAGATTGGTAACCCGGGAAACGGGCACATCTTGATGACTGCATCTTCTACTACCCATTGCCTGGCTCTCCAGAAATTCTGTGTTTGTGCCAACTGGCAAAATCTAAAGCAACTGTGGCCTCATTTCAAGGATAAGCTTTCTCTCCAGTGCATACTTCCATAAAGAAAGTACTAACAAAAAACAACAACCAAACAAAAAGTAAAAGCACTAGGGACCCAAACGACCTCTGTACTCACTTAGAGCGCCCTGTCCACCTGCAGGCCAAGGTTGGGCAGCTTAGGCTGCTCTCCCAGAAGCTGACCATAAGTCAGCATCACAAATCTATAAATGTTCCCAGCTGCCTGGAACATCGGATTACTCTGTACTCTGTTAAGCAGAAACCAGTTCTGGCCCAGAGCTGGTGTACACGCTGTGTCAAAACCCTCAACACGGAGGAGAAACAGACTTAAAAAGAGAAGAAGGCAGGACACTGGATTGCAGCAGTTGTGCCACATTCAGGGGGAGTTTGGGATCCATGAGTTTTGCTCTCTTGAAGCGATCATTGCTCCTGGAACTCGTCATAAGCCAGACATGAAATGAGGCAGGAGAGCTTTTTTTTCCCCCTGACTGAGACACAGTTTGTGTTCCGTTGCAAAACGAGAAAATAAGGCAAATGATCCACTCACCTAAATTGTTTCACTGACAGACCTATTAGAAACTCACAAGGGAGTCCCTAAGTACCACCTGCCAACAGAAGTTCAGCCGAAGATTTCCACCTCGGCAACCTCGGCCCTTGGTGCAGCTCAGCAGTGCTGCGCTTGCAGGCTTCAGGTGACTGCGGGTACACACAGGTGTGCTTTGTCGTCACCCAGACCAGGGAACCATGAGATCCTGGAGCAGTCTACCCACGAGAGGACTGTGTCCCCCAGCCACCATCACACAGCACTATATGTGCTTCCTGTATCAAGGGTTCCCCCAGAGCAACGGACATTTCTGGGCGAAGGACTCGGGATTAGGCACTGGATGTCGCAATCGGCCAGGTTTGTCCTTGCAGCCTGGGATATGAGAGGTGTCTCTGGCAGAAAATAACTCAATTTCCACTAACATTGGAAGTACCCCCATATTTGTGCACATGGACTTCAGAAAGCCTGTTAAAAATCAACTGAAAGGTAACTTTATCATGTGCCAAAGTTTTTTGTGATCAGTTTTATCATACACATTTTCAATGAATTTCACGGAGACTCCCAAATAAGCTAGGCCTTGCTTTAATTCATTTTACATGAGGCAGTAAGGTGCTAAGGAAGAGAGCAGTAACATAAAAAGGAAGATATTCCTGAGACCCAATCATGTCATGACAGATCAACTGAAACCACGTATCCTTGCCTCGCAGCAGCAACAAAAGCTAGATGGCTTTCCATTTTTTGGTTTTGCTTTTTTTTTTTTTTAATGACAAATACTGGGAAGACTTGAAGACATGAGTTGCTTAAAAGGGTGCGCCCTGCTGCCAGGAGACCTAGAAATGACTAGTAGCACTAGTCATCAACACTGCACAGTGCCCGGACCAGGAACTCTTGGGAGCTGATGGCCCAGGAGCTGTATGGGCCGAGGCGGCTCACTCATGCAAAGTGACTCAACTCTTTGAACATCATTCTTGGGCCACCATCGGGGTAACAAGAACTCAATTCACCTTGCAAGCTGTCCCCACAAAGAAACTGCTTAGCCAGGTCTTTCCATTCCACTTAGTCACCTTGAGAGAGAGAAAAGCAAATTCCTGTTGACCAAAGTGGCAACGCTGCATACCACACTCTAATCGCCAAGGGTCCCTTGCCCTCACCCCACCTTGGTGCAGCTACTATACTATGGACAGGAGCCTCCCAGCCACACCTGCCCCTGAAGGATGTGACCACGCAGGTGAACGCCGATTCAGCTTTCAGATTCAATGCTTGTAAAGAAACAACAACAACAACGATACTTGAAGCCTCATACCTTCTATTCAGCCTCACACCGAACAGCTTTTATTATCATGTCCTTTTTGTTTTTAAGCTAAAATGTCATTGAAAACAAAACTGTCTCAACTAACTGCTTCATATTCAGAGCAATATACCGCATGATAAAGCCCCGTATATTTTTAACAGTTGGGAAATCCAGACAGCACGAAGGACAACCCCTCCCTCCCCTGCCCCAACCTCTTCCTTTGCAATCGGAAAGTGAAAGCTCTCGGCTCCTCATCACAGCTCGCCTGCTTCTTCAAGACCAAGCTGTTGGGAAAAAAAACTCATGAGAAGCGAGCATGGCAAACATGGGCACACACGGCGTGGGCGAGACTCTCTCTTTCGCCTCTGCCTCCGCCCAGTGTCAGGGCACTTAGCAGCAGGTCAGGCCCAATTGAAACAGCAGGAGGCAGGGCTCTATACCAAGTCCCCTTGAAACATGCTAAAAAAAAAAAAAAAAAAAAGGTGCCACAAGATCCAAGTCCCTGTGCATTCTTAGTTGCAACTGTGGGCACAGCAGCCCACACCCATTCCTCCCTTTGGTATTAAATAACAATTCTTTAAAAAGCTTTTTAGAAACAAAGCAAATACACGGTGGGAGGACTGCAAATGTTCGGCCACCCCTGGTCCACGGTCCACTGAAATGAGTCTCATTCCCACTCATAAATAAATAATCTGTTTCCTGGTCTGACTTCCACGCCGGGATCAATATCTCTTAACATCTTACTTATTTTATTACGGCTTTTGGTTTTCTGGGACTGATTGAAAGTTGCTCAGAGGAAATCTTTGGTTTTGCTTAAGTGTCCGTGACATTTAATCATGACTTTCCTTGCAGTTTAATTCCAACCAGTCAATCAGTTAATCCACTTCAATTGATTCCGGACTCTCGGTTATCGGCTTGCACTCATTGGGCATCCTCTGGTGTCGGCTCAGCTGGGTGGCCTGTGTGAAGCTCCGTTCACACCTCTCGCACCTGGTGGAGGCAAGAGAGAAAATTGAGACCGAGGTGCAGGGCCTGCGGGGTGACGGGCGTCCTCTCATCCTGCCTAATCAGAACAGACACTCCAAAGTGGCTTCAGCTTTTCTCGGCTCGCGAGGTTTAATTGGCGGCTCCTTCCTCGGCCCCCAATGGCTGGGATGGGACAAAGGCGTCTGCTACACAACAGAGGCATGTGTCAATAGGCGGGGGAAGGTGATTTCTCCAGAGAGCCCTGTCCTGTTGCAGCTCTGATCACTGTCACTTCAAATAGATAAAGAACAAAAAGAGATTTTTAGGAGCGGACCATCAATGCTGCAGCTTGTCCGCAGCTTTCTGCTCCGTAACCCCAGGCCGAAATGGGTGACAAATAGAATTTCATGTGCTGCTAATTCAAACCCAGGAATTCTTCTCCCATCATCCAGCCAGCCAAGGAGCAATGGGCTTTGGAATGTGGAGACTGCAAGAAGCAGCCCCTTTGCAGGGCCTGGCAGAGTGAGGACAGAGTGGCTATTGCTTGGCAAGAGCTGGTTACGGCGCCACAGCCCAACCAGTCAGCCTTGAAACAATCTACAAAGCTAGCATCGCAGTGGGACGGCAGGGAGAACCAGCGATGGAAGGGTGTCCACATGGACCAAATTCCACCTGTGCAGAAAGCACAGTGGGTATCGAGCGTCACGGTCATCCGCCGGCCAGTGCATCTGACGAAGAGGAAGCTGGCTTCACACTGCGAGAGCATCCCTTGTGCGTGACCTCCAAAGGAACCAACGGCACTGCTGGGCCAGAGGCTAGCCTCAGCCTGAGGTCAGCATCCCACACAGATGCCGCTGCTCTGTGAGTCCCAGCTGCTCCACTTCTGATCCAGCTCCCTTCTAACGTGCCTCGGAAAGCAGTGGAGGCGGCTCCAATGTTTGGGCCTCTGCACCCATGTGGGAGACCCGGAAGCTGCCAGCTCCTGGCTTCAGCATGGTTTAGCACCGGCCATTGTGGCTGTTTGGAGAGTGAATCAGCAGATGGAAGATTTCTGTCATTCTCTGTTACTCTGCTTTTCAAAGAAATCAATCTTTCAAAAGGAATGGCACGACTGTTGTCTAGCAACCCTTGCCCTGCTTCTCTCCCACTCACTAGCTTGACGGCTCCTCAATTTGAGGAAGCAATGCTCACACAGAAACCACTGGAAGCCTCTGGTTTGTCTGTGGTGGTCGTTTCCGGCAGATGGGGAATATCTGCCTCTCATACATACATATTCATGAACTGAGGCAGAGAACTGCTCATACAGTTCCCAACAGCACCTTGTCATCTGAGCCGCCCACACGCTGGGTTGCACCTGCTTGGGCCCAGCAGCCACCTAGGCCATCCCCTTCTTGTTCTCTTCTCCACCTCTTGAAGCACAAAAACCATCTAGAAACAGCTGCAGACAACTCTGCCTCTTTTATATAATGCCACCTCAGGTCCACAGGTCTTGGCACTAATGGGGCAATGTCAGAGCCACCAAAGCAAGTCCCCCAGTCCAGGTGCACAGGCTGTGGATCCCATCCTCTGGCTGCATGGCCAGCTCTCTGCTGCTTCACCAACTGCCTCGAGAGCCCTGCAAGGGGAGGATGCTCTCTTCACAGCACACCCATGCCAGGTTCTTGCATCCTGACCACCATGCTCCGGACCCCTGCCCCAACTGTGTGTGTCAAGGAGAAGCTGTCGTTTCTTTGATTGTTTCCACGAATATTTTTCAGCAGGTCTGCGCCTGTGTTAAAAACTGCACTGTGATCTTGACAAATGTATGATGTCAGCTTTAATGGATCAGGCCCATCAGCTCAATGGAAATAACTCAGAAGTATTGATCACGTAATGATTTCTGGTGTATTCATTAGCGTCCACAGGCAGCCAGGCCCCTCGCCCGGGCTCCTGCGGGCCTGATGACATGTTAGGCGATAGCCGATTGTTTATTAGAAAACTGATTGGTTCCTGGATTTCGGTGTCATAATATACTACCTTTCATGGGCTGACAAACTTCCAGATTATTGAATCCCTCTCTTCATGCTGAAGCTCTGGAATTAATGTCCAAGACAGCAGGGGTTCAGGAGTTGCCTTAATTTAGGCCAGGTTCCCAGAGATGCCCCCTTTCTTGGGGAAACCAGGCTATAGGAAATAGCATCTGATGGCTAGGGAATGAGAACACAATGTGTGTGTTCCTGAGGAGGAAATGACGAGTGGATACAAAAATATTTTATTTATGTAAGGCCTGGGGTTCAGCATCTTATAGAGAAGCCACCTAGACCACACGCTTTCAGAGCAGAGCAAAGATCATGAGAAAGACCAGTCCCATGAAGGCACCCAGGCTCTGACATGTCCCAGCCAGCCTTTGTCTGGGTTTTCAGGACCCCAACAAAGTGACCAGCTGCAGCACAGAGGAGGAGGAAGGAGGCTGCAGGTGACAGGCCATGAGGAGAGCAGAGTGCTTGCACGCCCACTTTCTACATGGCACCCCCGTCCCCTCATCCCTGGCCCTGGTGCTGATGACGTGGAAAACGCAGCAACTCCCACACGCAAAGGCTCCCAGATACCCCAGCAGTGACTCCTGCCTTCCTATGGGCAGGAGCGTGTCCACGTCACTTCCTTGTAGGGGTGAGACAGCTGATGGCTTTCTATGAAGGCCGATTACGAACACAGAGCTCAACACATCAAAGGGAAGTCCTGCAAGAAGGGCCTGTGTTTCTCTCACATGTCAAAAACAACTTCTTGAAAAAGCGTCAAACTGCTCATGGCTTCTGATGCTTGAAGCGTTCAATGCATGACCACCAATCAGCCATTTGGGTTTCCTTCGATGTTGCGTCTGATCCTGTTGAAGTTGTTGATGCCTTAGAACGCCCTTCCCTTCCTCCTTCCCTCTTAAATGAGTTGGGCCATTAACACCAAACCAAGTTTTTTGTTTGTTTGTTGTTCTCTGTGACAGCACACTCAAAGCCAAGTTCTTCAAGGCAGCCCTGTGGTTGTCACTCTCCTAGGACCCCCGTTCCTCTGACATTCTGCAAACAAGTCCAAGCTCTACCCAGAACTTACATGGTGGGATCCTTCTGGCCGCTCAGACCATGAAGCGAGCTCTTAATGTCACACCTTCTCCAGTCTCCATCACATGGCAATAATCTTGACCTGCCTTCCAAACTCACTTACTAGCAGGGGCCCAGAGAATTAAAACACTCCACCCAGCCCCATGCAGAGGCTCAATTCCACTCAACCCAGGGAATTCGGGCAAGGCCTATCAAGCCCTGGGGATGGGAGAGGAATGTGGGGGTGGAGGCATAACTCAAGATCCAAGCCACCTGGGCCACGTATGTAGGAGTTTTCCATTTACTCCATTTTTCATTGTACACTTAATGTGGCTCTTCTTCTGTGTCACACTGTTTAAGCCAAACAGCCATTAGTCAAAGTAGCTAAGTTAGTTGCTGTGGTGAAACCCATTTTATTGACTAATCTGCAACTCACTTTTGTTTTTTAATGTTTGTTTCATAGACTTGTAAAAGGCTATCTTTGTAATATTTACCCATGTTGGTGGGATGGGATGGATATGTATGAGCTATGGTTCCAAGAGCCCCAGGTCGCCTTGGGAGGGTTTGATCCTGGGAAACCGAGTCTACCCTAGAGGAGTTACTGCCCTACTTCTAGAAGACGTTTAAATCTTGCACTTCCAAAGTCAGCATGTACTCAGTTCTTCACTGCGAACAAATGTTCACTGAGTTTAAGAAACCAAAAAATGAAAGCATGTGGCTATCTTCCTAAGAACAGAGCGAAGGAACAAACACATAAGCGCATACAATTGACTCCAAAGCCTGGTTCGTGTCCTTGCATTTTTCCCAGCTCAGGCCCAGGGATAATCGCAAAATGTATTTCCAGAAAGGAAAGAGAAGCTGTGATCACCAAAGCCCTTCAAATATTCATCGGATGAATTAAACTTAAGTTAAAATGGCAACTCTATTGGAAACATGACAAAAACAAGATGTTAAAGGAAAAAATTGAGTGGAGCCAACGAGCTAACACATAAGTAACACCTTAACATTAATAGAAATCTATTTCCCATTTTGACCCTGAAACCTCTTCAATTAATTACTAAAATCTATTTACACAGCAACAAGATAAAAATCAATCTGATTCCTGGCACTGTATCTGTCTGGCTGTCCTCTCTAATACGGGGCGCTAGAAGGATGCCAGGTCCTCCTGCACCTCTAGTACGTAAAAACTGCCTGTCTCAGAAACACACTAGATGTGCCACGGTCACCTTCCACAAGTGGAGGAGTGGGGAAGTCAAAACCCAAAAGCTTGAAGGAGAGAGGCGAAGTTCAACGGCAATGACCAAACTTACCAGACAGAACGCAAACACTGGTGATCGGGGTACCCAAGCCAGACAGGGGTAACCCATGTGACTCCTGAGAATGATGTAGAAAAGGACATGGCAGCCTCAAGGGACACTAGCATGCTTGGCTTAGCACAGGTTCAATCCAGAACTCATCCTACAATGAACATGCTGACATAGATGGTCCTGCCTTCCACTGAGCCAATGAGAAAGAGACAGACTGATCCATGTGAGGAGAGAAGGGTGGGAAGAAGGCCACTCACAATGAGCTGTTCTCTTCAGTGACGGACATGGTGGCAAGCAGGACGCAGCAATAGGACACTGCTACCCGGGGCAACAGCAGGTGTCTGGGGCTGTGAGAACCTAGGATGACCTCCCAGCTGATACTGAGGCCAGGGGCCTGGCTGCTACTGCTTGAATCTCACCCTCTCTCATTTGACCTGGTCACACAGAACTTCAGACTGCGCATCAATGCCCCTTCAAATTTCCCTCTTCCCAGAGGAAACATGAGTGCAGCAACTGAGTAGCGAGAGATGGAAGAGAGCTCACCACGCCATCAGGGACACCTGCTCTGGGCCACCAGCAGCCACACTCGCAGGTCACATGCGCCAGCCTTTGGGGTCTGGGCTGCCCTTTGACCATCATCTGTCTGCTGAACTCTTACTCGGGCCTCCTGAATGTATCTTAAATGTCATCCCCCCATGCACCAGCCCTTCCCCCAAATGGCACTGATGATTCAATGATTCAATGACTCAAAGGACTCCGTGCTACCTCGAAGCACTGTACTCCCTTCTCACGCTCGGTGTGACACGCACGTTCAGTTAATGGTTAGACTAGGAAGGTGTCCAGACACAGGACAGCAGTGGGGAAACTGAGGCTCATTCATCTTTGCATCTGTTTCACCTAGCAGGGTGCTGTGTGCAAAACAAGGTGCTCATTAAACATGCGAGTGAAGGAACGCATGAACACAAACACAGCAAAAGCAGTGAGCGGAGGGGCCACCTTAGAGCACGTTCCAGCTGACCCCATGATCGTGCTTCATCTACAAACAGCGGCTGCTCAGGTGCCCTTCCCTTGACCTCTTCCCCAGCTCCCCTGACTTGCCCTGTGCTCAGCTGGCTTTGCTGAGAACCCGCATGGTAACTAACTTCCAGAGAACACAATAAGGATGGCTGCGAGAGCGCTGATACTCAGTTCAGGAATGCTCCACCCACGAGGGAGGGAAAGGAATCGTTCACCAGATTCAGGGGGGGGTTCTGCAGACAACCTCAGCCCGTAGCCACGTCCCTGGCGGTCCCAGGGCTAGTTCATGGCCACAGACATCTCTGTGGCTTCTGGATAAGTCTGTAAAGCACAGACACCCAAGAACTAGAAAGAACATTCACCTCATTGAGATAGTTGTCATTGAGAACAAAGACGCAGAAAGCGTGTTTCATATACAAGAGAAACCACAGCCAGCCAATCAGCGTTCAGGTTTCCTGATTTCATTGGCCAGATGGCAGCCACTGAACCGGAAGCTGCCTTGCTGCAGGATGCCGAGGGTTTGGGTAGTCACCCACACTCTCAGAGCTGCACCTGCAGCTGTGGTGGGGAAGGCACAGAGAGAGGGGGAGGACAAGGGCCAGCCGGCTGCTACTTACTTGAAGGGCTTCTCTCCAGTGTGGGTTCGGATGTGGTTGTTGAGGGTAGTGGCTCCGGCAAAGGCTCGACCGCAGTAGCCGCACTTGAAGGGTCGGTCACTGGAGTGTGTGACGACGTGGTTCCGCAGCTCTGAAGGTTGGGAAAAGGACTGGGAGCAGTGACCACACTGGTAGGGTCTGAAACGAATAAAGACACTGCCTGGTCATTGCTGTCCACATCACTCAGGAGAGGTGAGCAGCATGAGGTGGGGAAGTGAACCCACCAATACCTAATGAGTACCCCTTCCTAATTACACCATCCACAGAACCCCCACTTCCCTCCAGCAAACACAAGTGTGCATTTCTGAGCAATGAAAGCACAGACCATTTGGCCAGTGTTGCGGCACAGTGGGTTAAGTGACCACTTTCAAGGTTTGCTTCCCACAGTGGTGCTGGTTTGAGTCTGGGCTGCTCCACTTCTGACGCAGCTCCCTGCTAATGTGCCTGGGAAAGCAGTGGAAGATGGCCTGAGGACTTGGGCGCCTGTAAGAGACCTGGCTGGGCTTTTAGGTTCCTGGCTTCTGGTTATTGCTTAGCCCAACCTCAGCTGTTGTGCTCATTTGGGAAGTGAACCGGTAAACGAAGAGATTCTCTCTACCTTTCAAATGAACAAAAATGATTTTTAAAAAGACAGAAAGCACAGACTGTATTAATCAGAAGATTACAAGAGAAAACACAAAGTTGTCTGTCACACTTCTTTGGCACTCTTAACTTTCCCATCAGGTTTAAAATCAAGCATCTAATCAGGGACAGGAAAAGCAAGTGCTACTTCACCCAGCCCAGAAAACCGAGTACTTGCTCTCCTTCCAGGGCATCAAGTTCTTGCCACCAAGGTCATCCTGGGGTGTATGGAGCTCATTTCAAGTGTCAGGTGCATGTGGACCTCTGCACTGCACATGCGCGTTCTAATCAATATTAAGCCAACTTGGGGCCGGCCACAGTGCGGGCACTGGCACTGCACGAAGAGACACGCATCCTAATGTGTTCATTTGGAAGACAAATCCTGACCCTTGCTTACTACAGCCCCTGCAAACATTTCTCCGCAGCACCTGTTTGCCCAGGTGCTGCTTGCTCAGTTCCCTGGTTTCATCCAGCAGCTGACGGGATGTCGCTACGACCAGGGATGGGTGACGACAAGGCCCGAGCCAGGGCAAGGAATGGCAAACACCTGATAATTAGCAAGATTATCAGAGCACAATCTTTCCAGCTCACGAGAAGCCAATCAATTCTGGATTTCATAAGATAGATTAAAATTCTGTCTTCTCTATAGCAGTACTTTTGCTTGCTTAAGCAGTCTGCTGAGTGATGGAGAACCCGAGGGCTTTTCCCTGTTCGGAGCTATTTCATATCACTCCTCAATGGGGCTCTAATCTGTTCATCACAAATTTCGTTCTGAAAACCAGTAATCTGTCATGTAGGATGTTAGCTGCACTCCTTAAGCCCCAGTTTGTGGTCCAGACTTCTCTGGCTGCCTCTAGAAAGCCAAAGGCAAACACAGACATGACTGCCCCTACTTTGAGCGAATGTATGACCTCCAGTGGCCAGCAACCAACACGAAGGGCCAGGAGACAATGGTGCCCCAGCCTATACAACAATTCAATTAAGTGCAGAATAAAGTGTACCCTCTCATTTGTCAAGCCAAGTGCTTAATTGTGGCTACTTGCCTCACTGAACACAAATACTATTATTTTACTAGGCCTCAGCACACTGAGCACTGATTGTAGAATTTTTTAGCTTGATTAATAGTCCAGCATTGGTCAATAACTCAATACTATACAATTTTAATTACTTACATTAAGAAATCTATCTAACTGGCTCTCAAACAAGTTTCAAAGAAATATATAATGGTCCTTGGTAAGGAGTTTATCAATCTTGACAAATTACATATGTATGTTATTACAATTATAAAATTGTGCTGTGAAAGCCAACGGACAACACACAGCTCACCAGGGACGGGATGTCTCTGATCTTCAGCTACTGTCGCATGTACTGCTGCCAAAATATCACTAACCTTAAAGGAGTCCTCCAAAAATAATCCTCTTGGGGTGAAGTTTTTAAAAGCACCGTTGAAGACTTTACGCAAAATAAATCTATTCATACATGCTACAGCCACTGACAATTGATTTTTTTTAATAGTGAAGGGACCATTAACGTTTATTAGCCTCTGGTTATCTATTTTTAATAGCTATCACAATAAACAATAAGCTACTAAATAAAACCAATTAATCTTCTTGCCTCCTAACTCTTCCGTCTCAAGTTGAAGTGATCAATTTCCCATGTCAGCAGCCAGCCTGTCCTTTTTTCACTTCACAGTCAGAGAGGCAAGCATGTGCATCCAGCAGAGCAGAGCTGGCCACAGAAGAGCTGATGTCACACTTCCCTTCAAGGTACCACCAGACAGGACTCCCAACAGTTCCCTGTGCCCAACACCTCCAGCCTGAGAGCACCTGCTATGGATTCAGAGACACCAGGGAAGTTGTACAACTTGGCAGAACCCCGTCTGAGCAGAAGGGTTCAGGACAGGAGAGGTGAGACCTGCCTTGGCTCCTCACCTTGTTTAGCCATGGTATCGGCCGGTCATTCAACCTGTCTCACCAGTGTGTCCTCATCTCCCATCATGCTTTGTGGCAACCAACAGCTCTGTGTCCAAAGTGCAGCTCACCAGCGATAACATGAGCCACTACGTCCAGCTCCCTGGACACAGAGCATTCCAACTGCTAATGTGTGCGCTTGCACGCGTGTGCATACACACTTACCAGAACGTGCAAAACTCCAATCCGCTGGTGCAAAGTGAGGAATTCAGAGCCTCACACTTAGTTTAGACCATCTCAAAAAGCAATGTGCTGTTTTTGTATCCTTAGGTACCTTGAAGAGTAAGATTTAACATAGAACTCCAGCGCACCTGTCACCGCTAGTATGACAGAGTGAGGAGGCCCTTGGGTAGGGCAGCACCTATACTGCTGGTACAGAACACTCCTCTAAGCTCTTTTCCTATCTTTTCCAAGCTTCTTTTAAAAATAAGTCAATTATCAGAAAGTCATTTTGGTGCTGACAGTATGCCTTAGGGTTCCATCCTGAGAACAGGAACATATGCAGGACAGAATTACCCCTTCAAACCCAACAGGGAGGTGGGGCTCCCCCTCCAGAGTGCCGGACATCACAACCCTCCAGCAGGTCAGCCTCATCCTAACTCGACACCCCTCAACTCGCAGCCCAAGGAAGGTCTTTGGGACAGACAGGTGCTACTACTTAGCTGTTCGTTCTGGTGGCCAACAGTCCTAGCAATTGCTTCATAGTCCAGAGGTAAGAATTGTTCAGCTTTCAGATCTGTTCTGTCTTAACCATAAAGCCCTGTCTCCCTCTGATGTACCATGGCAGGAGCAGCATGCCCAAACTGGCACTGCCTGCTGCTTTGCCAAGTCCTCTGTCCTCCGGCTAAATGGAACTCTCTTAAAAGCATTTTAGTTTCCAAAACTGATGTAGGCATCTAACACGCCACCATTCTCAAAACAAACACCACAAGTGTGCCCCACTCAGAGGCAACGTGTCATCATCTTTGTCGGTGACAGAGGTCTCCAGCAGTGGCTGCCCAGCCAGAGAGATGTCTAATGAACAGTCCTCAAGAAGCACACACACAAAAAAATGAGTATTATCAAAAAATTCATGGATTCCAAAATAATGTTTGCACCAAAATAAGCTCATTTTCCAGTTTCATTGCCCCACACACTTTCTGAATTCCCATACAGCAGTCACTGACTCCATGAAGCTGCTGAGCCCATAAAATGTAGCAAGTGCCACCGAGAAAGTCAAGGATTATTTTGCTTAACTGCAACCAACTGAAATAGTCTCCTGTGACAAATTCAACACAGCATTATTAAGCTCCATGAAACATGAGAAGGTACTCAATAAACACATAGCTTGCAAACAGACTAAAACGGGGCAGAGTTAGTTAGCATGTGTCATTGCTAGCCAATTTGTAAGAAGAAAGCAAGCAGCGAGACAATGTCCTACATCCTCGGCATCCTGCTCCTGGCAGCTCCTTTGCCAGCAATCACTCCAGCACAATGTGCAGTTCATTTACTTTGAGTCTGTAATTGGTTTGGTGTACACAGAGGAAAAGGATGAAACATTTAACAAAATTAAGTGTGGTTTGGTGTCCTGTTCCCCATCCCTTCTTTGATTCGTCTTCTCTGGCATGAAAGCCTTGAGGACAGTCTTGCTTGCTTGGGGCCCCATTTTCTCCTCGACCCACATGAGCCAAGACAAGTGTGGAGCCCGCAAGGCTCCAAAGTGAGGCTACTTGAGTCACCACCAGCTGTGCAGTGAGGAACTTACTGAGCTCAATGTAGTGACACAAAGACGTCAGAAAAGTGACCAGACGGCAGAATGTAGGGCCTGGACGCTGCAAAGAAGGGGACCTTTGCCCTTAAGGACATCAGAACACGGGAAGACACATTTCTGGAGACCGCCATGCTGCTCCCACTTCCAACCAGCACCTTCTTGAAGCCACTTTGTCCTCTGGTACGACAACCTCCCGCTGCAAACAACGGAACCTAATGCACAAATGTGAAAGCTGACATGTGCCCAGGAGACGGAAGGCAGATTTCCCCATGGTCGCAAACAATCAAAAAGGAAAAGGAAAAGGATGCAAAATAAAGATATGTATGATCCCCCTGTAGAAAAAAAGAATGTGACCATCAGAAGGTAATTCAGAGGGCCCGAAGTGACAGCCTAGTGGCTAAAGTCCTGGCCTTACATGCTCCAGGATTCCTATGTGGGCAGCAGTTCCTGGCCTGGCTTCTCCACTTCCTATCCAACTTCCTGCCTATGGCCTGGGAAAACAACAGAACATGGCCCAAGGCTTCAGGACCCTGCCACCACACGGGAGCTCTGGAAGAAGCTCCTGGTTCCTGGCTTCAGATCAACTCAGCTCTGGCCATTGTGGCCACTTTAGGAGCAAACCAGCAGATGGAAGATCTCTCTGTGTGTCTCTCCTTCTCAATCTGACTTTCCAATAACAATAAATATAAAAAAATGATAATAAAAAAACAACTGTTAGAAGGTAATCCACACCATTGGGAAATTGTGCCTACGCCTTTCCACAAGCAGAAAAACAACAGAGAACATGCACTTCTAAT